TAAATAAGAATTTATCATTTTGTTCAATTCTTAATTTACATTTTAAAAAAAAAAATATTTTTTGCTATAAATATGAAAAATTCTATATTTTTATAATTTTATTTATACAATAATATGGGTCAAATCGGAACAAACCGCGACCCGTAACCCTCAAGGGCTCGACCTGGAGGGGTCAGCGAGTGGGCCTGAGTTGTAGTCCAAAATTTTTGGGCTGACTCGGAACCCGAAACGGGCGGACTTTTTTTCACGCGAGCCGTTACCTGGCTCATATGTTGGCGGGTCGACTCGGTCCGGACTACCCGGATTGACACCTATAGGAAGGGGAAGGAGAAGAAAAAATTAAGGAGGAGGGAGGAGAAGAGACAGAAGAGAAAGGAGGAGAAAAAAAAATGACTAGGGTTTGGGAAATGGGATTGAAATTTGGTGGGGAGTGATAAATTAGGGTTATCAATTGGGTATTAATATAATACCTGATTTTTGAATAAATAAACTGTAGACCTAATTTTTAAATATCTGATTTTTTATAATTTCCCGTGTAGATTTCACTATAATTGATTAATTGATAGAAATAGCACTAAATACAACCCAATAGTGATTATGAAACTTTCTTCTACACGTTTTCTAGTAGTTTACAATATTAAAGAAAATAAAAGTTCAAATTTTATTCACTAAATTGTTGACTATCAAGTATTAAATGATAAACATTTGAAAATCTATTAGCATCCGTTTGATAGGGAAATGTGTAAAGAAATTCCAATGTCATGTTAATTGGAAAATAAAAATCTATCGAGCCCATAAGAACTCGTTTTCCATGAAAACAATAAAAATGTAGTTTAAAATGGTTGTACCTTGAAATTAGATTTACATTTCCATATTGCAATCAAACGACAAAAGTGAAATTCGTTTTCCTCGGATGTGATAATTTTCATGGAGTTTGTTATGCTTTCATGCTACACCATACTAACTTGGAGGGGATAGGATTAGGCGGATAAGAATAAAGTCAATTGTTTTAAATGTGATATATGTTTCGA